CCTCAATAAAGTTATATAAATCTAACTTTACAAGTTAGAATAAGTTTTAGCAATGGCACATGTTCAAAAGCAAAATGCTAGCGGCGAAGTTTAAATAATAAGCGAGTTTTTCATGAGAAAAAAATAGAAAAGCAAAGGATATAAATGCTTTTAGCAGTATTTTCTTCGTTTTATCATATACATTTTGCGTGCATTCATCGAGGTTAAGTTTTATCCGTAACTGAAATATGTAGTTCAAACATTATAGCTACTAACAATGCAAACATTTTAATATGTCTAAATATGAAAAGCAACTGTTTCTAATGCCAATGAGGAAAAAGAACAAAAGCAAAAAATTGAAAATAAAAAGAAATATCAAATTGACTTATTCATTGCTAAATCGTAAATATTCCACGCCGGAATTGAAGAATGTTTTCCCATTTAACCGAACCTCGCTTTAACAATGTCCCGAGATAAAAGCCTAAAAAATTAATTTGAAACCATGTTTTATCGATCCGAATAACAGATCCGTATGTATTTTCAAATATTTATTAATGTTCACCGACAAATCTGCCCTAATGCCGATTCAAGCCCCAGCAAAACTGTTATCCCGAAGGGGTACAAAGAATGTCGGCGCATTTACGAGCTCAGAAAGAGGTGTACACACAACTGTTGTTGTCCGTATGAGCCCTAAGGGATGAATGTAACTCTAGCAATTTATCCTTAAAAACGCTTCGTTGGTGTATTTCCAACAGGAACGATACGAGCTACATAATGAATCAGAATGTACGACCAGGGATCTATTCTTAACGTATTTGGAACGTTTTTCATTGATCCTCGAGAGCGTATTGTTTGGTTGTTATTTAATAAATATAACCGCAACCCAATACAGATCTTCAAATCTGGCGCTGTAGTTCAGTAACTTGATTGTTTGAAGTATGAAAGAAAAATTGCTGATTATTTTTTATCAGCCTATAAAGGCACGTGTTCGGTAACACTTGGAGGCATATAATAAGTAGGCGAAAAGAGTGCGAAATTATTAAGGCACCGCATTATGTGCTCCCCTGGAGAACATAAACAGAATTTTAGGGAGCAGCAGGAAGGCAGCCAAACCACAAATAGGGGAGATTATATTATGAACTTTATCGACTCGATTGGGAAATGCGGAGAAACTTTAAAAGTCACTTGAGGGGATGAATTAAACACGAGTCTAGCTGAGATTCAGTAGGTTAAAAACCTTTTTTAATAGGATTCTTTACTTTATATTTCTTGGTTAAAAATCACTCAAAAACGTATTTGGCTATGTGGCGCTTAGTTTCGTATGCTATTTTAGCTGGGTATTGATAGTATGTAGAGTTTTATACCCAAACAGTTTATGCTTTTCCATTAAAGATTTCTGGTCGTCCATAAAAGTTTAATGCAGCAAAATAATCAATTTTTCAAACTGATAGTTTCAAAGGAGTTTAGTCGCTTAATATGTAAACAGAACTCCCAAAATGCGCTACTTCGTTCCAAACTCTACTACTAATCGTGCTAATCTTAATTATAATGATTCGTTTTGTTACGCAGAATTAATGAATGCGACTAAGCATTATTGACAGTTGTATTTCAGTTAATATGATGGCAAACCATTAATAAGAATAATTTCCTTGACCAACCAATGTAATCTATTTTAAGTCCAACAAATGTTTAAACTGCATTAGCTACAATGCAAAGTACAAGTGCAAGCACTGTGATTTCGAAATCCAACTCAGAATTATTCATATTCAAATAATAAGAATTAATTAATTTTATCTCATTTCATATTGTTATGTACTGTGCATAAATCAAAAACAGTAATTGCTTCTCTGACTATTGAACGAACTTTTTATTTGATTTAAATATCAAATTCACGGATCGCTGCCTGTCAATATCGGTTTAAAAAAATGCCTTAAGCAAAAACGTTCCAGTTATTACTTAAACCGGCTTCTTTTTTCACATTGTCTACCTACCGCAAATTATCGAGACTGAGGAGATAAATCCGAATCACCTTCCATCAACAGAACCAAGAATTACCGAATCGACCCAGTTTCCCGACTTCGATGCAGTAATGTAACACTATGATTAGTGGATATAAAAGAAAAGCTTGTGTCATAACGAGATATATTAGACTAATATTGGAAATTACGCCTCAGTGCATGTACGGGCTGAACAAACGTTTTATGATAAAGATTGCATCCATTTTACAACCAGAGCAAACACTTTGATTTCAAAAATTTAAACTAATGATCGCACTAAACATATGTAATTATATAAAGTTGATTTAAGTAAGTGATTTGATTTAAGATTTGTGATTAGAATATTATTGCCTAAGAATAAATTAAATAGTTTGCAATTTTTTTATATATCTCAACAAATTAGGCAACCGTTTATAATTGAAATTTTTATGATCGGCAATTAATCAACTGTATAATTACACCACGTTTTATATCCCTAACCAGCTGAGGACGTCTGTGTTGATTTCAAATATTCCCTTAAGGGATCTCCTTATATTGGACATCCGGTACGTAACGGTAATTCAATCTGCAAAGTGTAGGCTTGACTATTATTTTGCGCAGATAAAATCGCAAAATTGATCCCTAGACTATTTAAAGCCCACTGGTCGATTTCCAACACTTCCTACTAGAGCAAGGGATGATTGTGGTTAAAAACGGTCACATTCGACGCTTTCCTGCTTATTTTCGTTAAGCTCAACAATTCCACTAAGTTCAAGCAGTTTCTACAAAAGAGGTCGCGCAATAATCTAGGAAGACTAGGAAGAGGTGGAATGCTGTACTGAAGAGTTGGAAACGATACGGTAACTTCTCATCGCAAAAGAGTTTGTGCATAAAAAACTGCTAGAACTTAAATAAAAAGAATGTGGGTATTTTTCCCCACGCAAAAAAAAACATCTTTTCAGGATAAATTTGTCCAAACAACCCATCCGTAGAGGTTGTGGATTCCAGAATGAAACAACTCTACATAAAATATGCTACACTACATATAAAGTGTAGATGTCCTACCAATTGAAGCCTTGAGTTCATTGATTTTAGAGGGTTAGTGGAGAAGTAGAAGAGAAGAGAGCACTATAAGACAGAAATGGTTGCAAGCTACCTCGGCCGTTACGGAAACACAGTAATAGAAGTAATCGAGTCAATAGCTTACCTGGAACTTCAATACGAGCCTCCGACGGGCGCTTAAGAAAACATTTTCCAAACCTTATCTAACAGAATAGCAAACAAAAACAGTTATCTAACAGCGCAAGGTTTTTGCAGATTATTCCGCATAGTATATTTTAATAAATCGATAATATCAAAATGCATTTATAGATTAGCAAATTTCTTAGTCGCTTAGTTTTTAGGCCCATAAATTGGCCAGCGATATTTATTCCAAAGTTCATTGAATTTAATTTGCTATTTAAATCATTTACGTGATCGCTCTAATCAAAAAAATCCTCAATTTCGCACCCTGAGAGACAAGCATTTCTCGCAAGCTTTCGAAATTTCATATATTACTGTGCACAGATTCTTTTGTTCATATCTCACGAACAGATTGAGTGAGCGCACTTATTTCTTTATCATTGGGTAGAGTAAAGAAAAAAATAATTAAAACTATTACGCCTCGCCTGTTTCATCATATCTTAAAACCGTTTGAGAAAAATGATAGATAATTAAATCCTCGATTCATAATATGGAACTTGAGTGAAGAAGTGCTGGCAGTTTTTACGCAAAACGCAAAATTTGTATAGCACACACCTATTTTTTGCTCATGGCACACGAATAGATAGATTCAAGTGATAATTATTATTAGAAGAAGTAAAACATCGCTACGTAAATGTTTGCTAATTTTTACCGGACACGCCAAAATTTTAGAAAAACTGTTAGTTTTGCGCGGTTGAGTTCAACATTGTAAAATTAACTCAAGCAGGAAGGACGTCGCCTATTTTGCTGTAGCTCATAACATTCCTGACCTAATAACTGTTTACTCGACTCAATATTTACGTTCTACATTGCGTTGTTTTGCATACAGTCAAATTTAGGTTGTCTCTAAAAACTGCATAATGCCCTGGTAAAAATATTCTCTTCCTCATCAATTAATTTTGTATCGTCCGCATAACAAGTTAATTCCGAAATTCAGATCATTGAAAAAAGTATGCACGTGCACGTTCCGTGTACCGAAAATCTTAAGTTCCAAATAATAAAACTTCCGGCCCTTAAAAATCTGACTATTTGCGTGTTTCTAACCCCAGACCTTATCAATACAATAGTAGGCATTTAATGAATGTAAAGATATGGGCCAAGAACATTCCATCCCCCTCAAGGCATTGTAGAATTAATTTTGTAAGTTGTAAAGCAACCGTTTTCGTGGATTTGCTGATTGTAGATCGAAGTTTATTGATTCAATAATATTTAATTAAGTAGTGTAACAATTTTCTTTCAATAATCACCTTGCTAGGTTTCGAAACCATTCTTTAAATGCTTTTGGTATAGAATTTTAATTTTTATGGACGTTCCGCCCATTTTTCGTATCTACTCAATTCTAAAACTGGACTAGTCGAGCTTGCGCTCAAAATCTGCACCTGATATTTTTGAAAAACTTTTGCCATCGACCATTGATCAGCAAAGAAAACCGTTATTTCGCATCTATTTGAATAAGCAAAGAAAAATTTGCAGCACGGTTTTCACTTTCTGGATGTTCTCGTTTGCCTGCGTCCAGCGGTTTTCGCCTTAACTTCACTTTCACAACGGGGCGATTTGACCTAATCCATCTAAACGGTCTTCGGACAAACTTCCAGCATGAACACGATCTTAGTCGAGCATTTGAGGCTTTCCTGCATTCTGTGCAGCTGACGACGTTTCTTCCAGGGCAGCAAAGTAGTAAACAGTTTTATTTTGTGAACCATTATTAGGTAGCTTTTTTGTTAAAAAGTCTTCTACCAGCATTGTCTGAAGAACGGCATAACAGGTGCTGTCGAGCGAACAACCGAAGCTTGTTCGGCAACGATCGAGATCCGGCGTACCGGAGCCTGCACGTGAAGAGACATCAGTCCCATGCAGAGCTTTTCCGTCGCGGGAGCAGAGCTTTGGATTCCGGGCGGGTCTTGTAACTCCGGACGCTTTTTACAATCACCCGGAGTCAGATTGTGCGACTTTGTAGCTAGCAAAAATCGCTGCTTTGAACGGTGGCAGCATTTCCAGGCCCGGAAGTGCAATTGCGTTTGCGATTATCCATATTAGAAAAACGTTCGAATATGAGCGTTCGCGCGCGTTGATTTGTGTATTTTTCTCCGGGTGCAACAGAGATTTGCAGATGAGGATTTCAGTTTAGATGGATAGTGACAAAAAGTGGTGCATAACTCTCGGGTCTAATCAGGGGCACATGCAGTGAATGCAAAAACGTTTTGTGAATTGTTTCTGTTGTTTCTAATTGGATTTGTCACTGTGATCATGGATATGCTTGTTTTCAATATATGTAAGTGCTCTTCCTCGTTTCTTTGTCATAGTTGCGGTGTTTGGTGTTTTTCGGCCTCAATGCTGAAGTTTCGAGAATATAGTAACAGTTGGGGTTCCAAAGACGCTGCGGCAAATTGCAGATATCCCGCAAGGAGACCGCTTGCAATAACGCAGACGACTTTTTGCAGCCTGCGTATAATAAAATCTTATCATCTACTCAGTTGGCATATGAAATGCAAATTTTTAAACTGTGTGGGTGGCAGTTGAAGATTTCTTGCAGAAAAATTGTTTGTTGGGGAACACATTCAAGGACGATTTATTAGTGAGAAAATGCCACCTTGGATAATTGACAAACTTTATTATGTGCAATCTCCCGTGGCGTATCTAAAGCGTATAAAGGCGTCGTATGGTAACCCACGAAAGTCAATTCGCTCTAGGTGGTGGCTCAGCGGTGGCTTAATTTTCCGTTGCTTGGAATCTGAAAGTTTTCCAATAGGATTACGAAACTATTCGATGTCAAACTTTGAATGAATCCCTTTTAATAAATGTTACTAAACCTATTCAAATAAGCATGAAAAAATTATAAACACTTTTACATTTTTTTAGAAAGTTTAATAGCAAATGTGATCCCAAAAAGAAACCAAGGCAAAGCAGGCAGACATTTTTTTATTGTCAAAAACAGGCTCAGGCAGTATTGCTGAAACTTTTGCTCGCAAGTAAATGTTGCCAAAAAAAGAATTTTTCCAACAATACCTTTATTTCATTTTCCGTGTTTTCTCTGCGAAAATAGTGTATACTAGTAATGGAAAAAGCTATTCATCAAAGTATAAAATTCTAGCCAAGTTACGAACAAGTCGAAAAAATGAGTTATAATCCATCTGTATTCGATTCACACCTCAACTACGTGATTTGATGATAAAATACTTAAATTAGGGCAAACATGCGATACTTTGAAGCTTCTTGCCTACTGACGCAAATATCCTCCTAACTGTTTTTAAATTAACTTTGAAGAAAATCTATTGTCTCCACTTTAGATAATAATAAATTATGGACGAAGTCCAAAATTTAAAGAGTTAGTTGTTAGCAGCACAAAACATGTCCATATAGTCGAAGAACTTTTATAAAATTGTAAAAAAGTGTTTTACCAACTTCATTAATAAAAGCGAGTTTAAAAATCCGTACCTGTCTGACAACTTAGACCAAATTTTCTTGATATCCTAATTAAGTATAAACTGTCGATATGTCGATAAATTGTCTGGTAATAATAATTTAATTTGCCCTTAAATAATTATCTTTAGATCATTTATTCACGTGAAATAGTCTGACACTTATCCAGATATAAGATGTTGGATGGTAAAATGTACTTACTTTTTATTTTATTAATAAATTTTACGACTTTTGACGATTTTTCGAAGTTTTCCTCATCGGTATTTCTTTAGAAGTTTGCTTTCACAAGTCGAGTCAATGGTTGCTTGCGAATGAATGAGTAAATCAAAGCTACCATGTTTGCTAACAGTGCTCAAAGGCTCAGAAATATTAATTGAGAAAAAATATGGAATAAACTGAACAGTAAAAGTGTGAAATCGTGTTTCCACAAATTTCAAATGAACTAAGTACATGGAAAAAATAGAATGGTTTTTACTGCTCATCAACTATATGCATAAAATAGTTCTTATAAAAAGAATTTTTATTCTATAATAATAGCTTGAGATTTTAGTTCTTCAAAATATGAAAGTTGTCGAAAAATGTCTGGACTAGTAGAATAAAAACGAGCGTTTGTCAATTAAAAATGTTAAAAATGTTTGCCTGCAAAGAGTAACGCTGGCAAATGAATAAAAGTTGATTTTAGTTAAACTTTAATAAAGTTAGAGAACCAACAGCAAATGATTGTCGAAGGAAATAGAGGTATGAAAATGCTTCAGACAAAAGCTAACTAGTAATTAACAGATAATAAACCAGACAATAAATGACCAGAGATATAATAGGTTTCAGTTAATAACACAAGTAGATATTCCATACAATCTACTTCAAAAAATTCAATTTACTACAAAAGCTGCATAATACGAAACAAGTTGTCAGATAAATGCTGAATGTCCATTCCAATTAAATTCGCCTAGTGATATTGGACTATCTAATAAAGCATCGGATAAAATCAAAGGTTTCACATTTAACTCTGAAATTAAACAGAGCAAATGGACACTTTAACATCTACTAGTGCTCGCAAACTACTATACCTATTACAATTTTTTATTATTTTTTTAAATCAATATGTGCGACAAAATTTGGAATTATTAACCTAATTTCCCCGGTTAAAATTGTTTCTTTAGCATAACAAAAACGTTGCACAAAAAATGGCAAGTTTTTTGATCAAAAACATAAGTAAAATCAAAATTTATAAATTGCTATTAGACTCGTTTATGGATCTCACTGACCGATACACAAGCCCTATGCCCTTATATGATGTTACATAAGCAACCGGAACAGCGAAAACCCCAAACGCCATCCTTCTTTCGGCTATCCATGAATTCAACAGTAAAAAAGCCGGTAGGAACAAGCTCCGTTGAAAAACGACATTGATTTCATATCTAAAATGCCAGCTCAACATGTTTTCTTGTATGGCCAGTTTTTCTGGGGTTTTTGATTAAGAGGAAGCCATGTCGATCGAGTGCATGTTCGAGAAGCTAAAGCCTTAGGGTGTATGGGCTTCAGCAGGAAGATATTGCGGTACTTTTCAAACAAATAATGTGGGTTAATTTGAAACGTACAAAACGTTTTTACCTCCGTCGCTATACCTTTCGAAAGATGTAATCACGTTTGACTGTTTTCTTATTTTTATTATGTTTCCTTGCTTCCTTGTTGTAGCCCGTAAATCCTTGCTCTAAGCCGTAAAGAATTAAAATAAAAAAACAACTCAAACCTATCTGCTCAACTAAACAATCCAATTCAGTAACATGATTTAATAACGAGCCAATTAACAGCCAGGGGGTGATTAAAATCAGCAACCATAAATCACCAGCGACCGGTGATTTTTAGAGCGTGAAAACACTTTTGCTCGCAAGCTAATCGGTGAGTTTATACGCATCAGAACCATATGCACCAGAGCATTTTCTGAAATCAGTTCACGCATTGCTAATCGAAAACTCAACTTAAATGACCGCAAACTCCCTCGAAATCGGCGCTCTGATAACCGACACGCTATTTTCCAACTGGAAAATGCATTACGGGTTACTGAAAATGACCAACGAATGCTCTATTTTTCCACTAGTTGCTTAAGAACCTGTTAAGCAAAGGCTAGCTAGGCTGTAGTAATTGGCCGATCATTTTTTACATATCTGGAAACTTAATACTGAAAATTTTTAACTAAATCAGTAAACATTAAAACCCAATTTCAATTCAAATATTCTGCCTAATCTAATGCAAACTCAAAATGGTTTAGTAAAGCTCGCTATAATGTTCAAAGCATGTTTTACAATTTTAGAATTGCGCGAATACAAAAAGGAGAAATATTAACCAGCCAGCACAACCACTTGTAATGAACACGGCAATGAAAAAGCCATTGTTACGTGCTTCCATAATTTGAAGCTTGTTAAAATTGAATACTTTTTCGAAAAAGAAACGGCTAAAAACAGGAGAAAAAGATTGTTATAGCAAATATTACATGAACTGTCGCAATACTCAGGAGTACCTGACCTCTGGTTTATCAGACCATTGCAAACCACAGGAAAATTCGTTCAAGCTATTAACAAATTATGCTAGTTAATATACGGTTTTAGAAATTTTGTAGGCGACAAAATTAATATGTAAAATTGCTAAATTTCGGGTTAAGCAGGGTCAAATATATTTTCTGAAAGTGGCGGTATGATTGGGTTTTTGTTCAACTAGTTTACCAATGTTGTTTTCAATTTTTTTCTATTTCGTAGTACTTAACCAGCTAAAACTCTTTCAATATAACTAGTTACTTTATGCGGACCTTAGCCTAGGTGTAGTTTTGAGTCGTGTTTTTACCAAAACTTTGTCGGTTTTTTGGAAAAATTTCGAAAGTTATAATTAATCGCTAAGTTTCAGTTACGATTTTTTATATTTGAAAATAAAAAAAATGCAAAGCAATTATAAACGTGTGTACTTATTCATAATGAGTGTTTTCATTACATGTAAATATACGTGAATTGTCTTGTAAAAATGCAGTTTGCTCTTGCAAGCTTTTCTGTTTTATTTTCGCAGCGAGAGCAGATCTTAATTCAACTTTTGGCAATTTAATGAGACTAATTTTACTAGTCACTTACAAGTATGAGAAACTATTTAGCAGTGCATATAAAAATTCCAGTGCAAAATCAATGCAAAAGACAGACAGTTTATACTAAAAAACATTGAGAATTAATACACATATTGACAGCGTTACAATGTCTTCCCTCCGATGCAAAAATATCTAGTAAAATAAAATAAACCACAAAACATATTAAAATAGACTATTGGCAAAGCACATTTCTCGTTCAGTCATTCTAACTTGCTTTACGGGCGATGAGACGAAACAACCAACACATGTCAACTGTTTTCATGTAATTGAGCCCCAGTTTTGTGAACAAAAAACTGTGGAACTAGCAGACATGATGAGTGCTCTTTTGAGTTTGGTAGCCATCTGGAACAAATTGAAATAATAATATAAAACTGCAACTAAATCAGAAGTTTGATAATGAATTAATTACTCCTAAGCTAAGCATTCATAACGCAATTAAATTGATGCGTTCGTTCGTTTCGTACCCAACAATCTACATTTGCAATCACGTCATTCTGAGCAATGTTTCATCCCGCTTGAGTCACGTTTTTCGAAAAATGTTCCACTAACTATAAGCAAGCAGGTAGTCTAAATATTATGATCCTATTTTAAACAAAGTTAAAGTTGGTTAGACACTCTCAATGGAAACAGGTTAAACCTCAAAACGTCGGTTTATAATAACGTGCATCCGGTGGCTCACCTGCCTACTGCACTTGTAAGGGCTTCACTTTTTAAGGGTATTAGTTACGCCTTAAAGGTTTCGACCTGTTTTCATTTTTTCTCTGCTTCCTGTCTGTCAAGATCCAAATCCCCTGGTTTTTTGCCATTTCACGTTTTTAGGAACCGAAATTGGTTGGCTGCTAGTCGACTTGGAAATTGTTAACTTTTATCATGGCTGTTAAGTTAGTTAAAAGATTTTTTGTGGCAATAAAATGCGAGATTCTGATTTTGCCACATCAGTGTTGATTATTAAGGAATTTAATAAAAATAAAACAGTTTTGAGTTTGAAAAATGTAAATATTATGTTCGAGACAGTGGGAATTTTGAAAAATAAATGCTTGTTTTTTTTAATAATAGAGCTATTTCATTTTTGAGCGAACTGAACTTAAATAAATGGGTGGTTGATTTAGAAAAATACCTCGAACTAACCATCTTCAAAATTGACAAAGCTTTAAGAACAAACAAACTTACTGAACAAAGAAAACTTAATTCGTTGAGCCCTTGAAATTAGTTAATTTTGTAACTATACCTACTAACTTTAAGTCGTCTAGAAGTGTCGAGCTTTAGAATACTAAATGCATGTCATCTTTTTTTCAAAATGTACGTACATGTTTTATATTATATTGTTCTGCTAGGAAAACAGCTTTTCTTGAAGAAAATACTTGCCTGCTTATCTGAGTATTATACAAACCACACAAACATGCTTTTTGTTATTCTGTTAATTAGATTTATCAAGTAACAAATATATCTAAACAACTTCTGTGTTATTCATGCAGATTTTTTAACGGCTTGCTATTGTTGCTGGTGAAATCTGAGCGTTCTCACTAGTTAAAAAAAGCATGCGATTTAAAATTTAAATAAAATGGAAAAATTGTCAGATTTCAGCTGTTACAAATAACCCATTGTTACATTTACTGAAGGTGTGTATTTCTTTAGTAGGTCATTAATTTTAACTGTATTGTCTTCCTGACTTCTTGCCAGATAATATTGCAGCATTTAGTTTGCATAAATCTGAAATTGCAACATTAATATCTAACCTAAATTGAAATATTTTCTTTATTGGTTTAACACTCCACTTACGACATTATGTATACCTTTATTAATGTAATTTGGAACCGATCAATCTACAGAACGATCGAAATAAAGAAACGGGAAATGACACAACCTAACAAAGCAACTCCTTCACTCGAATTAATATCAGCTTTCTGAGTGGCGTGCTGAAAATAGTGCAATGTAGAAAAAAAATATTTTTATAGGTCTCACAAAAAAAACTTACATCTATCAAGTTAAGCCATTATTACACTTAATGCTTAGGGTTTTGCTATTTTTAAAATCATTTAACTAGACCTTTCCATTTTCAGCCTCATTAATTTATTATTGCACTGAAAGTTGAGTGGCATTTTCATAAATAAACCGCATCGAAAAGGATATAAACAAACAAATATTATTTCCTTCATAATAAAGCACTTTTTTATTATGATTTTCAGTCACGATTTTCAGTGGAATTAGAGCTTTGGTTGGATTCACACAAGAACTGAAATAAAACAGAAGTTAGTACTCACATATAACGCATTTCTTTTGTCTTCAAGATTCATTATCGATTTATAAATGAACTCATTTGTCATTAGGAGATCAAGTATCCTTGATTTAAGCAAACCGAAGTATCTGATTGTCACACAATTTCTAACGAAATAAATTTCCGTTCGCTACGATCTTAAATTGTACAAGTAAATTCCATTTGTCAGGAATTTAAAGCCACTCAAACAACAGCCAAAGTTGAGACAAAAGTCGAAAATAACTCGAAATTGACGTTGTTAGCGTGTCTTATTCCATATTTTCCACATAGGCGTGTTTCAAGGCTTTGTTGTTAAACATCTACTGTCAAGGACTTAAAAAGTATTACGCAGCCTGGAGGATGATGAGCTGCGTGACAACATGTTTGTGATAAGTTGTTTTAACTGTATAATTCAGGCTTTGGGGTTGGTTTCAATCACATTTGACTTGTTAACTTTTTGTTTGCTTTTTGCAGACACCTAATAATGACGCATAAACATATATAAATAATAACAACGTTTTGCATGAGATCTTATAAAGATTTACCTTATATTCTATCGGACATCGTAAAATTATACAGCAGAATGTTTTCCAAAGCACTAAGACTAATGGCATAAATAACAGAAATAACACTAATTTTATTATCTGATCATATGGATATTAAACGTGTTTTACTTGTTAATTAACTGAAAACATAGATCAGTAAATGCGGCCCTTCTCAAATCTAATTATATGCAAACATAGCTTTATAATAAAGCTATGTTAACATTATTAATTAAAAGTCTGTTGGAAACTTTGCTTTAGCTGCGTGTTCGTTCAAAGGCTGCTATTGTTTCAATTTTTCTGCGGAACTCCATGACTCCGTGGATGATTGTTATGTTTTATATATTTATTTAAAAGTATATACTGTTTAAAAAAAGCTAATATTTGGAAAGAAAATAAGTTCACATTGTAATCTTATATCATTATACATAAACAAGTTTTTGTGAATTGAATAAAAGAGTAACGAAGCTAAACGTAACAATGAGGGTTTCGTTAAATTTTTTGCAGTGCAAATACAAAGTGTTCGCCATTTCTTATGTGCAAGTGTTCAGAGCTGCTTTTACCTCTGTACTCGTAAGCTCATCTTTGTAGAAGATCTTTTTCAAATCCGATCTATTCAAATTAATTCATTGTAATCAATCCTTCCCTACCAGTCCCTCTTCAATTGCTCTCGAATATTTATTCTGAATTATTTGTCTGAAAATAATCGAACCGCCTGTGAACAGTGCATTCCTCTTTTCAGTTTTAGGAGATATATTTTTCTGCAATTCATTCACAAAGAAGTTAACGAGAATTTGTAATAGTTTTTGCTGGATCTAACAAAGACGGAGTTGTATTGATGAAAAACTTCCTTCTATTAATCTGTTGTGGTGTTTTTGAACTCCAGATCGCAAAAATGTTTTATCTATTTTACTTTCTCGTTTTGCGCTCCATTTCCACTGCATGCTTCAAATAATAAAATTGAAATTGTATTCTTTCTTATATGTTTTATCTTCATTTTTATTCATTATATTGATATTGTTTTAAAAAAATAATCGTAAATATTTGCGACTCACGTTCTATGACTGAATATTGTTTTGAAAAATTTTGAAATGAACAAATGAAGGAAATACTAAAATACTAAAACAGTTGTTCGTATTTGTTACCTAAAAGTTTATATTACAAAGCAAACAAATTTTATTGAAATACTAGATAGTCGACCGACTATTACTTAACTTATTCACTATAACAGAATTACTAATTTATTTATAAAAGATATTATTTATAAATATATGTGAAATTGGAAAAGCTGTGAAATGTTCACTTAAAATATACTAACTGCTTATGTTTATTCCCCTCGTTCAGAAAAAAATAGAATAATATGTTTGAAGTGGAAGATGCAAAGAATTGTTTTCGTATCTTAAACTCGTAATAGATGCAGGTAAATTCAACAAAAGTAATCAAAAAATGCAGTTAAACACTAGCTCAAATACCTTTTATTAAGCTAAAGCAATGACAATTATAGAATTTCGTTAAGCATATTGTCGGTAGAAATAGAAAATAATAACGAACAAATTAACTAATTGTTTTAAATTTTCGAGGCCATTTCCAATTTCAAAGCATTAAACTGTTTAAATTAATTAAACGTCGTCTCCGGCTTGACTTAATCTAAATCAAACCGATGAATAATGTTAGACGCTTTGAGGTTCCAGTTAAGTAAATATGGCATAATTTGTTCCAAACAACAAATTATTTCAATTAAGGTAATATTTCTGATCCGATACGGATTGGCGGTCTGTTCCTTACAATTGAATAGATGGATGTTGAATGAAAACACTTTTGTATTTTTATCGGTCAATAACTGAGACTTCTTAATGCTTGCTCAACTCAATTCATTCAACTTCGCCTCTAAGGATATCACGTCTTGATATTTATACTAATGCAAATATTTAGTGCAAATTACGAGTTGTAAACAAGTGGGCACGTAACCTAGATAGTTGTACATTGTACTGGCTTGTTTTCTTAAATTAAATTATCCGACCCCAGTCTATGAAGCCCATGCACTTTTCAAATATGGAAACTAACCTGCCATTAATACATGGTAAAATGTTATTTGCATACGTCGATAATGTATTCGAGTGCGTTAAACGACAAACAGCTTGAATGTGCCGACTAAATTTACTTTTATTCAGTCAAACGTATTCTATGCGAAAATTGCAATTTTTTACAATCTAATGAAGCAGATGAGAACGGTTAAAAATTACCCGCTTTATCAAAGAGAGGCGTTCTGCGCAAACAAGATCTATTTAGCGAAAGAAGTTTCAGAAAATTCTAAGGGTAATTTAGAAAATGATTCGCCGCGTCGAAAAGAAATTTCTTTTTGATGTATTTTCAAAAGCACTCATCGAATTTTATTGAAACTCGGCAGTTGTTACACAGTTTAAATTTTGCAATATCAGCACCTTTTAATTACTTTTTCTTTTGGCAAGTTCGGCTCTTCTGCAGTTAGGCTCCAACTTGGGTGAACTAGACATTAATTACGGATTAAAATTATTTACAGTGAGGTA